CGGACTCTCTTCGTGCTGCCAGTCCTACTGTCACGCATCTCCTTGCTACTGTCGTCACTGACCCTTCTTTTGAGTCCACTACTGCGTCTGCCCTCGTTGCTGAGCTCGTTGACTTTGCTGCTCGCTGTCGTCTAGACTACGCCGCTAGTCTTGTCGCTAAGTCTGAGTCTGTCTCTACTCCGTCTGTCGGGGGTGAGTGTGCGCTTGGCACGGACGTCCTTGAGGACAGGCAGGAGGAGTTCCTGTGTCTAGGTGCTGCTTCACCTCATCTCGTGTCCGTACTGCTTACCTCTGAGGGAGACCCGGATGCACTAGACATCCCGACTCCGCGCTCTTACGCGGAGGCGATAGAGGGTCCCTACTCTTCTCATTGGCAGGCAGCTATGGACGCAGAGATGGCTTCTTGGAAGTCCACAGGCACCTACGTTGACAACGTTCCCCCGCCAAGGGCGAACATCGTTAGTGGCATGTGGATTTTCAGGGTGAAGCGGCCGCCGGGTTCTCCGCCTGTCTTCAAGGCGCGTTACGTGGCTCATGGCTTCAGTGAGCGGTAGGGAGTTGACTACTCTCAGACCTTCTCTCCCACCCCGAAGATGACCACTCTTCGGGTACTACTGCACATAGCTGCTCACCGTGACTACGAGCTTCACTCTCTTGACTTCAGCACAGCTTTCCTGAAGGGCAGCCTGCACGAGGAGATCTGGCTGCGCCGCCCACCTGGCTTCACTGGCTCTTTTCCTTCTGGCACCCAGTGGAGCCTCCGGCGGCCAGTCTACGGTCTCCGCCAGGCACCGCGTGAGTGGCACGACACACGGAGGACTACACTTGCGGCTCTTGGGTTTGCTCCCTCTACTGCCGACCCGTCGCTGTTTTTGCGCACCGATACTTCTTTGCCTCCGTTCTACATCCTCGTGTACATCGACGACTTGGTCTTAACCACAGCTGACACTACTGGACTCCCCACGCAAAGTTCGAGCTGTAGAAGAGACACACGTGCACAGACCTGGGTGAACTGCGCAGCTACCTTGGCTTGCAGATCACCCAGGACAGAGCACGCCGCACCATTACCCTGACTCAGTCACACATGGTGCAGCAGGTCCTTCAGCGCTTCGGCTTCACGTACTCCTCGCCTCAGGCCACTCCTCTGCCTACTCGCCACTCGCTCTCAACTCTGCCTTCGGATGAGTCCGTAGAGTCGAGTGGCCCGTACCCAGAGCTTGTTGGCTGCCTCATGTACCTCATGGCCTGCACATGACCTGACCTTGCATACCCTCTTAGCATTCTCGCACGCTATGTTGCTCCTGGGAGACACAGACCGGAGCACATGGCTGCAGCGAAGAGGGTGTTGCGCTACTTGTGCAGTACGTCGGGCATGGTCTTGTGCTTGGAGGGCAGAGTCCAGTGGTCCTCACTGGGCACGCAGACGCTTCTTGGGCTGACGATCAGGCTACGCAGCGGTCGCCACAGGGTTACACCTTCAGCCTTGGTTCCGGCTCTGTTTCGTGTCGGGCTACCCGCTCGTCTTCTGTTCTCGGCTCCAGTTGTGAGGCTGAGATCTACGCCGGGGCCATGGCTGCACAAGAGCTTCGCTGGCTCACCTACCTACTGACTGACCTTAGAGAGCCGCCTCGTTCTCCTCTCGTGTTGTACGTAGACAACAAGGCCATGCTGGCCTTGTGTCGAGAGCAGAGACTGGACCACAGAACGAAGTACATTGATCTCCGCTACTTCCTTGCTCGTGAGCTGCAGCAGCGTGGTCAGCTGCGTCTTGCGTACGTGGCCTCTGAGGCCAACACTGCTGATATCTTCACCAAGGCGCTTGCGCCTTGTGATCATCAGCGCTTCGGTACTCAGCTGGTTCTTGTGCCTGCCTTGCCTCACTTGCTCGCCTCTTGACTTTGCTTGTACTGTTACATATATATATATACACCTGCTCTTTCTTGTCTAGCCTTTTATATATATATACATATATATGTACTTCTGCATGTGAACTGGCCTTGTGGCCTTGATCTTGTGCTCAGAATGTGTGGTGAGTTTGTGATCCACCCTGAGCTTGCTTTGTTTTGCTTTGCTTGACTGGTCTTGTGACCCATTGTCTTCCCTCACTATGCCTATGGGGGTGTGTCAGAACATTATAGCTTATGCTTTTGTGTAGGCTGTAGTGGGGTAGCCCATATGGGGTACAGCCCAATTAGGGTTAGTACTTGTACCCAACTCTTTCATAGTCAATTTATTCTCGTTCTAGTTTTCTCACAGTGCTTGTCGCCTTTTACTATTCCTGTCCCTCGAGACACTTCTCGCAGCCGCTGGAGGTCGTATTCTCCCCGTGCTGGCGTAAATTAAGGTTTCTTCATTACCGTCAGTCGTCCACCATTCATAGACTGCGTTCTTATTCAGCTGTTATTAATCTCCGCTCCTTTTCGCCATGTCGTTAGCTAGAATTCAATATCGGAAGTCTTAGTAGTGGGGACCTCAGCGGCAATAACGTCTTGAGGAGAAATTAGGCATCAATAACAGTGATTTTTTCCCCACTTATTAGAAAAAATCATGAGTGGGAACACTAACATACTCGTGAGATTTGTTTATTTTATTTATTGGAAAATATGAAGCTGCCATGCTGATTTTTTAATTCTATTTTTTACAGCTATAAATTTCGCTAGAATAAAAGAAGATGAAAAACAGGGCCTTTTGAAATTATTATAAGCCCGCCAGGGCCTATATAGGAAGTATGGAATATTGGTTTAAAAAACATTAACTAGCCCATAGAATGTAGCATATATGCAATAACTTGGAAGATGTAAAAAGCTAACATTCAGGCCTAGAATGATATACACTTGCTCCCGAATTACGAGATTTTTTTTTGTCTCGAAATGACAGGTCGGGTAGCTGCCAAAATGGCTTGGTTGCTCCGCAACGTGAACGGGTGCGTGCGGAATGCGTACCGTACGCAGCTCAACTGCGGTGCTCGCTTGGTTCTGTACCGCTACGCGCTTTCCACCTTGAAAGTTGAAGCCATGGGCGAGCTGTACGATCTGGTGGGCTTGTTGCGTTGGGCTTCCTACATACAGCTCTGCACTGCACATCCGTGTACGATCAAGTTTACATGTACAGTCCTTCGTCTGGGTGGACCAGTCTCACCGACCCAATCAGCTGTCGTTTGGACACCAGCGTGACAGATCCACCAACCCCTGCCAAACCAAGCTTGTACGTACAGCAACTAACACTGGCGTTGCCTGCAGTCAAGGTTCACAAGCAAGCAACACGACTGCCAGCGCACCACCAAGTGAAGCAACACCGGCCACACGACCGCATCAGCCAGACCACCACGCGCGGAGACACACGCCGCACCAGCTCCCTCACACTTCCCCCTAAGGGCGAACCCGAAACCCGCAACCTGGGGAAATGCAGTCACCTGGCCCCTGTTTCAGCCCCTCCCCTGACCAACGTGTCCCCCCGGCCCCTATTTTCTTCCCTATCATTCATTTTGCAGCAAACACCTCCTTTGATGGGCGCTGTACTTAGTAGTCAGACTGCCGTTTCTTGCGTGGTGTAGTGATACAGATCGCCATAATCACACAAAACAACTAAAGAGTCGAGACCACAAGGTCATTTGCTGGTTGGAAGACAATGAACGGGCACATATGTTTTGTCTTACAAGCATTTGGGTTCCCCCCTTCCCCTAGGTAGCGAGGTCTGAGCAACCATCTGTAAATTCGGTCGCGCAACGTCGCACAAACGAAGCGGCGCGCCCTCGCCTACGCGAGTTTCTCGCATCCCCCCTCGCTCGCACGCGGTTGTTTTTTTCTTGCCCAAAGTGGACCCTTATCTTGACCTTTTCTGGTCATCCAGATCCACTCCGCGTCGCACCAGCCGATCGTTCTTCCTCACCAGCCTCCTCGAGATAACACCTAACCCCAGCCCTTGGTTTTATCGACCCGCATTGTCTCTGACTCGCTGCGCCTTTCACATCCGCTAGGCTGTCACGTTCGCTCATTGTGCCTGTCGTTGCACTGGGCTCCTTGATTGGCTGGCTGGCTCGGTCCATGCCCGCAACGTGGATCCCGCGCTCGACGACAGACAAAGCAAGCAATCAAGCGATTGCTTGCGAACACAAAAGCAGCCGCATTTTCCATGTCGCAAGTTTGCGATGTCGCACACACGCAAAGCCACGCCAGCAAGCCGCCATTCAGTCACTTAGAGCGGCTGACTGGGGCAGAAGTGCTTGATTAGACCGCCTTCTCAGGTTCGCAAGTCCTGAATTTATTCGCAGAAGCCAAGGAATCAGGTAACCAAACCACGGCTCAAAAGCAGGTGGGAGCTAGGCGAGGGGAGCTGCGAAGGACTGCGAGTCATGCGAAGCAACGATGGCAGGTTACAATTCAGGGTTGCTGGCCGGACTGGAAAATGGCGTCACTCCAGGAGCACTGCATGAATGCAGCACAGAAGACTCAGTGCTTTCACTTCACTGAGTGCTTTCACTTCCTGGCATTTCCCTCATACGTACGCGTACATCCTCCTCGATAACCAGCTCTTCCAACACCCGCAAATCCCTCATTTCGTTGGTATTTATTTCTCAATGATACCTCAGGCTCGCATGTGTGTCTATTCGCTGGTTGGTAGTGCTTTTTGAATATTCCCTAAGAAACACAGCCAGCGTTAACATCCTCTCTCGCAAGCGCTGCCGTAGATTTCATCGAATCGAGACTTGTCGAAAGCTCGTACTCAGATCCGAGCGGGGACGAGACGCCACGTGCTTAGCACGTGTGCGGCGGCGGCGGTGGCGGCGACGGGGCCAGCATTAGCTTGCCAAAGTGGAGAAGTGCTACTACTGTTGCTGCTACTACATCAGTTACTTGATATTGAGCTGACATCACTGAGCGACGCTTACTTCACGAGACGACACTGGACTGGAGCAAGGAGAGCGGAGTGAAAAAAATCGAGTGAAAAGAGCGGAATCGGAATCTCATACTACACGCGCGCGGAGACTCGCCGCCGCAAGGATGATGACGGCGGAAAGCGGTGCGGGTCCTCCTCCTCCGCCGCCGCCCGCGCGCCGTCGCCGCCAGCAGGGCGTTTTGGAGCTTCTCCAGTGCGCGCTATTCGCGCCGAAAGGCCGTCCGCCGCCGCGCGGCGCGCCGAGCGGATCAACGTCCGCTCCGCAAGTTTCCCGCGAGGCAGAGCTCGGCCTAGCCGGCGCCGGCGCGGAGCCGATCTCCACGGCGGCGGGCGCATCTTCAACCTCCCCCGACGCGGAAGCCGCCTCGACTGATGGGAGCGGCGGAGAAGGCGGAAGCCGCCGCAGTGGCGACGTTGCGCCTGTGGCGGCGGAGGTCCTTCTCGCGGTGGGCGGAATGGCTTGCGCCGCGTGCGCCGCTTCCATCGAGAAGGCGCTTCTGCGCCTCGAAGGCGTGTCGAACGCGACGGTCTCCGTTATTAGCGAGCGCGCTAAAGTCACCTTCGACAGCGCGTTGACGAATGTGAGTGCCACCCGTGCCGCCGCTGCCGCCACAGCCGCCGCCGCCGCTGCGCGACCTCGCGAGCGCACCGCTTTCAATGCTAACAATACTTGCGTCCCTTTCAGCACTACCGCCAGAACACACATCATTACCGCTTTCAGACGCAACATATTCGCTTGAACCCGTACCATCCATCAGAGTCTATTATGGTTATGGCCCGTCTCCGTTGTTCGTCTCATTCTAATAATTCTGTGTCGCGTCGCGCGCCTTGTGGCTGTAACAGGAGGACGAAGTAGCGAGCGCCGTCGAGGACGCGGGATTTGACGTCAGCATCATCTCCTGCACCATGCTCGCCGTGTCCGGCGGCGGCGGCGGCGGCGAAGGAGATGCGGGAGACGCCAGCAACGCCACCGCGGGAGATGCGCACGCGGCAGCGGCGGCGGCGGCGGGAGGGCTACCCAAGTCGATGGGCGGAGCGCGCGCGATTCGCTTCCGCGTGCCGGCGTCGTCCGCGGATCCAGAAGAACGAGCAGCAGCAGCAGCAGTAGCAGCAACGGCGGGGATCGCCGCCATCAGCGGAGGAGATTCGATGGAGGAAACGCCGTTGGTGGTGGATCAAGCGACGCTGCTGGAGCGAGCGCTACAAGCGACCCCTGGTGTTCTGGCCGCGTCAGTGACTTGGAGTCGCGTGCCCGGCGGCGGTGGCGGTGGCGGCGGCGGCGGTGGCGACGGTGACTTGGAAGCGCACGTTGTGTACTCCGTCTCCCCTTCCCCCGCGCCCGCTTCCCCCGCTTCCGCCGCCGCCACTTCCGCTCCCCCCGCGCCTCTCTCCCCAGCGGCGCTCCTCGCGGTTATCCACAAGGCGGGCTTCCCTTCCGCGAACCTTCTCTTCGATTCCCCCTCGAGTTCCGCCAATTCCGCCGGTTCCGCGGGTTCGCAGCACCAGCAGGTGCGCTTCCAACTTAAGGGGCTCGCGTCGGCCATAGCAGCCGGCACGTCCCAGTCCGGAACCGAAGCTACTAAACTCTCCGCGTCTGTCAAGGGCACTAGCAGCAGCGCTCCTTCCGCTTCTGTCAAAAGGACAGGCAGCTCTTTTTCCGCTTCTGGTAGGAGGAGAAAGGCTCCCTCCGCTCCGCCCTCCTCCCCCGCCGCCCTCTCCGCCTCCCCCTCCCCCTTCCTCTCCGCCGCCCCGTTCTCGCCCGCGCTCGCCGCCCTCCCGCTCCCCACCTTCATCGAAGCTTCCCTCTGCCTCCTCCCGGGCGTTTCCGCGGCAGCAGTCAGCACCCCCAGCCAGCACGTCACCGTCTCTTTCAACCCCGATATAAGCGGACCCAGGACTCTCCTAGAGGCTCTACAATCGGGGCTGGTCGAAACGAGACGGCTGGAGCAGGTAGACTTGGCGGATAGGGAAGGGGGAGGCGTGGGGGGGAGCGCGGGGTCGAGGCAGCGAAGGAAGGAGATAAGGAAGCTTCGGCAGCAGTTTATTTGGAGCTTGGTGTTTTCCGTGCCTGTGTTTCTGCTGGCCATGGTGCTGGATCGAATCCCGCCCTTTGACGAGTGGCTCATGTATCGAATCGTAAACTGGTGAGTTGGTTTCTGCGCGTGCGCATGTGTGTGTTGTGAGCGTGCGTTCGTGCCGGTGTTGATGCTGTGCGATGGTGCTGGTGCATGTGGGTTGTGAGTTCGATCCGTCCCGCCCCTGCCGTACCTACCTATAGCTCAGTTGAAGGCCATGGTGCTGGATCAAATTCCGCCGTTCGACCACTGGCTCATATACCAAATTGTCAGCTCAGCGCCGCTCAGCCAACATGGATGGACGTAGCCATTTTAGTTTTGAGACGCCTCAAAATTAAAGATGGACTTCGCTAACGTAGCCATTTTCTACTCCCTCTTCATCCTCCTCGCCTCTGCTCCCTTTCCTCTTTCCCCTCCCTCTCCCCTCTCCCTCTCCCTCTCCCCTCGCTCCTCCCTCTCTCCTCCCTGCCTCCCTTCTCTCCCCTCTCCCCGTTCTCCCCCACACCAGCCTGACAGTGGGAGTGCTGGCGCGGTGCATCCTCACCATCCCAGTGCAGTTCATCATCGGCTGGCGCTTCCACACGGGCGCCTTCAATTCCCCTTCCCTTTTCAACCCCTCTTTACGCCTTCCAACTCCTTTCAAATCCCTCTCCTCCCCTCTCGCAGCCTGACAGTGGGAGTGCTGGCGCGCTGCATCCTCACCATCCCCGTCCAGTTCATCATCGGCTGGCGCTTCCACACGGGCGCCTTTCACGCACTCAAGCGCCGCTCTGCCAACATGGACGTGCTCGTGTCCCTTGGCACCAACGCCGCCTTCTTCTACTCTTTCTTTATTCTCATCGCCTCGGCTGTCACCCCGCCTATGGAACTAGCTCCCCCCTCTGCTTCTCCTCCTGCTGCTCCTCCTGCTCTTCCTCCTCCAAATTCTGCTGGTGCTCCCGGCACGGGAACCAACTCATCGAGTCCTGCGAGTAAGATTGATTTTTCTGCTCTGGCTGGGTTTCAGGGCATGCCTGGTGCTGCTGGTAATGCTGGGGGCAGCAGCACAGCATATGGGACCAGAGGAGGAGGGGATTTTTCTGGGACGGTGGGTACGTGGGAGTGGATTGGGCGCATCAACAGCAGGAATGAGGGCCTCTCTGGACTCGGTTCTTCCAGTGCTGCTGCTGCTGCGGATGCGACTTCTGAGACGTCTCAAAAGTGGATCACGCACGTGAACAGCAGGAGCCAGGGCCTGTCTGGCGCCGGTTCTTCCAATGCTGCTTTTCCAGGGTCGACTCAGAAATCGGCAACGGTTCCGGTACAGGGGAGGATGGTTCAGGAGGTGGCAGCAGGAGGAGCGGCGGCAGCAGCAGCAGCAGCAGCAGCAGCAGCAGCAGCAGCAGCAGCAGAAACAGCGGCACCAGCTAAAACAGCACCGCCAGCACCCGCAGCAAATGCAACGGAAAGCCAAGGGGAGGGAGCAGGAGAAGCAGCGGGAGGAGGAGGAGGCGAAGGAGGCGAAGGAGGAGAGGAGGAGATGCCAGTTACAGTCACGTACGCATATGCTGGGATCGACTTCTTTGAAACGAGTGCGCTGCTGATCTCGTTCATCATGTTGGGAAAGTACCTGGAAGCTGTGGCGAGAGGCAAGACGAGCGATGCCATAGGGAAGCTGCTGAAGCTGGCCCCTGATACTGCCACGCTGCTAGAGGTGGAGTATGGGGGGAAGGAGGGGGGAGAGGAGGGGGGAGAGGAGGGGGGAGATGAGGGAGGAGGAGAAAAGGGAGGGACGGGAATGGAGATTGGGGTTGAAAAGTGTGACAGTGGTGGTGGTGCTGCTATGGCTGCTGCTATGGCTGCTGCTGCTATGGTTGCTGGTGCTGGTAACCCTACCTGTGCTGTGGTTACCAGTGCTAGCAGCGGCAGCAATGGGTATGGTTGTATGAGTCCGGTCAGGGATGACAGTAGCTTCACACGTGGCAGTGCCATGCAGGAACATGACTACAGTTTCCAGTCGGATGACGTGGCGCTCTTTGATTCGACGCGCCAGGTCGGCTTCAGCTTCAAGTCTGACGTGGCGTCTGTTGATTCGTGCTTGGAGAAAGAGGTTATGATGACGTTGATGGCAGGCGATCGTGGGGGGGTGAGTGGGGAGGAGGAGGGGGGGAAAGAGACGGGAGAGGAGGCGAGGGGATTGATAGCTGGGAAGGAGAAGAGGGGGTATGAGTTGGGTAAGCAGGATGGGAATGCGGCAAAAGAGGAGAAAGAGGGAACGGAAGGGAAGGAGGGGAAGGAGGGGAAGGGCGGAGAGATGAGGGTGGTGGGGGAGAGGGAGATTGAGGCGGCGTTGATTCAGCGGGGAGACATCATTCGAGTGGTGCCGGGAGCCAAGATCCCCACGGATGGGGTTGTCGTGTGGGGGCAAACGTGAGTATGCTGCTTTGGGTATGCCGTGGTGCTTGGTGTTGTGCTGTCGTCGTGTGGGGGCAAACGTGAGTATGCTGCTTTGGGTATGCCGTGGTGCTTGGTGTTGTGCTGTCGTCGTGTGGGGGCAAACGTGAGTATGCTGCTTTGGGTATGCCGTGGTGCTTGGTGTTGTTCTGTCGTCGTGTGGGGGCAAACGTGAGTATGCTGCTTTGGGTATGCCGTGGTGCTTGGTGCTGTGCTGTCGTCGTGTGGGGGCAAACGTGAGTATGCTGCTTTGGGTATGCCGTGGTGCTTGGTGTTGTGCTGTCGTCGTGTGGGGGCAAACGTGAGTATGCTGCTTTGGGTATGCCGTGGTGCTTGGTGTTGTGCTGTCGTCGTGTGGGGGCAAACGTGAGTATGCTGCTTTGGGTATGCCATGGTGCTTGGTGTTGTGCTGTCGTTGTGTGGGGGCAAACGTGAGTATGCTGCTTTGGGTATGCCGTGGTGCTTGGTGTTGTGCTGTCGTCGTGTGGGGGCAAACGTGAGTATGCTGCTTTGGGTATGCCGTGGTGCTTGGTGTTGTTCTGTCGTCGTGTGGGGGCAAACGTGAGTATGCTGCTTTGGGTATGCCGTGGTGCTTGGTGCTGTGCTGTCGTCGTGTGGGGGCAAACGTGAGTATGCTGCTTTGGGTATGCCGTGGTGCTTGGTGTTGTGCTGTCGTCGTGTGGGGGCAAACGTGAGTATGCTGCTTTGGGTATGCCGTGGTGCTTGGTGTTGTGCTGTCGTCGTGTGGGGGCAAACGTGAGTATGCTGCTTTGGGTATGCCGTGGTGCTTGGTGTTGTGCTGTCGTCGTGTGGGGGCAAACGTGAGTATGCTGCTTTGGGTATGCCGTGGTGCTTGGTGTTGTGCTGTCGTCGTGTGGGGGCAAACGTGAGTATATATATTCTGTGGCTTTCAAGTCCATTACAAGGATGGTATGAGGGAAGTGCGAGTCCTGAGACGTCTCAGAGTTTGTGTGAAGCCAACACACACACACACACACACACACACACACACACACACACCCACACACACACACCCACACACACGTGACGTGAGTGCGTTATCCTCACTTAGATATTCAGGCTCGGTAATTCCTCCCTTCCCTTATCCCTTCCCCTTCCCCTTCCCCTCCCCTGCAAACCCATCCTCCCGCTCCCTTCCCCCACCCCACCGCAGCTATGTGAACGAGAGCATGATAACGGGAGAGTCCCGCCCCGTGCTGAAGCAACTCGACTCCCCTGTGATAGGCGGCGCGCTCAACCTCGCAGGGAGCATCCACGTGCAGGCCACCAGGGTGGGCGGGGACACGGCCCTAGCGCAGATAGTGCAGCTGGTGGAGGCGGCTCAGATGGCCAAGGCGCCCATTCAACGCGTGGCTGATCAGATATCAGCGATCTTCGTGCCCATGGTGAGTCACTGTGAGGGGGAAGGCTGGGAAAGCTGGGAAAGGCGCTGCCACAGGGAGGCAGATCGTGCAGCTGGTGGAAACGGCTCGGCTCAGATGGCCTAGGCGCCCATTCGGAGGGTCGCTGACAGCATATCGGCGATATTTTGTTCCCACGGTGAGCGGCGGTGGTGGTGGTGCTGTGGAAGGGTGAGGAGGGTGGGAAGGGAGTGGGAGGCTGGGTGACTGACCCGCCAGTACAGAGGTCGCATTGCAATAGTGCATGTGCGAAGGTATGCATCCTTTGTCGACAGGATATCAGCGAGCACGGTGTATTCGTGCGACTTTTGAGAATTCTCAAAGGATATCAGCGAGCATGGTGAGTGGGTGCGTTTGGTGCTGTGCAGGGTGGTGTTGCTGTTGTAGGGTGGTGTTGCAGAGAGAGAGAGAAGAGCAGTGGTACCTTGGTGTATTTGTTTGTTTGTTTGTTTGTTTGTTTGTTTGCTTGTGTGTTTGGTTGTTGGCTCGCTTGACTGCTGGTTGATTGCTTAGACTAGCTTAGTGCCAATGACTGTACCTTGATGCTATTAATACGAAGGACTGTTCGAGAGAGAGAGAGAGAGAGAGAGAGAGAGAGAGAGAGGCTCAGACGTTGTCCCTCCCTCCCTTCCCTTATTCTCCTTGCTTATCCTTCCTCTCACCCTCCCGCCCAAACCTCCCGTCCTCCCCAGCCCCCCTTCTCACCCTCTCACCCCTTTCCTCTCCTCCCCCCCTTCCACCTCCCCACCCCCTCCCCCAACCAGGTGGTGATAATCGCACTAGTCACCTTCACCATCTGGCTGATTATAGGGTACACCGGAGCGTTACCCTCGTCGTGGTTACCTCAGGGGATGACCTATTTCGAGCTGGCCCTCCAGTTCGGCATATCCGTACTCGTTATAGCGTGCCCCTGTGCGCTGGGACTCGCTACACCCACTGCTGTGATGGTGGCGACAGGAATCGGCGCGCGGCAGGGCATTCTCATAAAAGGGGCTGATGCTTTGGAGAGGGCACATAAGGTGAGCAATGGGAAGGGTTCGCTGTTCTTGTCACGGGTATTGGTGGCTACAAGAATCGGCGCGCGCGGCAGGGCATTCTCATAAGAGGGGCTGATGCTTTGGAGAGGGCACACGAGGTGAGCGGAAATTAAGCTTGATGGGATAGGCATACCTTCTCATAGGCATACCTTCTCATAAGCATACCTTCCCATAGGCATACCTTCCCATAGGCATACCTTCCCATAGGCATACCTTCCCATAGGCATACCTTCCCATAGGCATACCTTCCCATAGGCATACCTTCCCATAGGCACATGGGAAGGGCTCAGCGTCCCTTCTTGTTCTCTCGTCTCCTCGTCTCGTCTCACCGTGTAATGCTGTAGCACCCCCTTCTCTTCAAGTGTTCCCCAAGTACTCTCAGATTGAAACGGCGGTGTTTGACAAGACACAGGCACTCTCACCTCACTCAAGGAAGGCCTATTGCCACCACCTGCACTCTCTTCTCCTTTCAACCTTTGCTCCCTGCCCGCCCTTGTATCATTTCTCTACCTGTGTCTGTGTGTGTGCTCTCAGATCGAGACAGTGGTGTTTGACAAGACAGGCACTCTCACTCAAGGAAGGCCCAGCGTCACTTCCTGCACTCTCTTCTCCTCCCGGGTCTCGCAGTCAGAGCTGCTTGCTATCCTGGCTGCTGCTGAGGTAGGCATACGCACAGACAAGCACGCACACCATGCGTGCATGCACACAGGCAAGCACACATATCTCACACAGGCATGTACGCATGCACACCATGCAGGCATGCACACCATGCAGGCATGCACACCATGCACACCATGCACACCATGCATGCATGCGCACCATGCACACCATGCACGCATGCACACCATGCACACCATGCACGCACTCGTCTCGCAGTTGGAGTTCCATGCTATCCTGGCTGCTGCTGAAGTATGGACAGACATGTCTGGGAGATGTTGAGAGGTTATGAACTGAGTACAACGGGAAAGGGAGTGGGGGAAACAGGGTGTGGGTAAGGGAGTGAGGGGGAAGGGGATGGGCAGGCCGATAGTCACCTCTCACCTCGTGCTCCCTTTTTGAGAATTCTCAAAAACCTTCTCCCCATCGCTGTTTGTAGCACCTTGAGTCGTAATCGAGGTGACCTTTGAGTCGACTCAAAAGGCAGTTGGAGCACCTTGAGTCATAATCGAAGGGCCGCAGTAGGCGTGAGGGAGTGGGGGAAAGGGGATGGGCAGGCCGATAGTCATCCCTCACCCCATGCCCCCCGTCGCAGTTGGAGCTTCTAGCTATCCAAGCCGCTACTGATGTATGGAGGCCAGCAGACACATGCACACACAGAAACATCCCCCGACGCCCTGCAAACACCCGCAACCCTCCTCATCCCCTTCCTAGTCCCCCATTTCCGCCCCCTTTCCCCCTGTTGCAGGTTAGCAGCGAGCATCCTTTAGCCAAGGCAATAGTGGACTATTGCCTCTCCTCCCCGCACATGCCCAGGACCTTTCCCCCATGCTCAAGAGTTTCACTCACTCTCCCTCTTCCTCTCCCTCATCCTCTCGCTCCCGCCCCCTTTCCCCATTACAGGTTAGCAGCGAGCATCCTTTAGCCAAGGCAATAGTGGACTACTGCCTCTCCTCCCCGCACATGCCCAGGACCTTCCCCAACCTCTCCCACATTCCCTTCCCCTCCTCCTCCCCACCCTCTTCCTCGCCACCTTCCTCCTCTCCCAAATCTCTTCGTGCTCTCCCCTTCTCCTTCCCCCTCCCCTCCTCCACCTCACCTCTCCCCCACTCCCCAGCTCTTCTCCCGTCTCCCTCACCCCTCCACCGCTACTCTCCCTCCCCATTGTCCTCCCTCCATCCTTCCCCCCATCATTCAACATCCCCCCCATCCTCTAACTCATCTCTTCACTCCACGCCCAATCACCCTACCACCGCCACCACCGGCGACATTTCTTCCCAAGACACCTCTCCTTCCAAGAAGCTTCTGCACACTCTCCCTCCTGCCGAGAGCTTCGAGGCAATAGCGGGGCACGGCGTGGTGTGCCGAATCAATGGGCGCCACGTGGCAGTGGGGAATCTGAAGCTCATGCGGACCAGGACCGTTGTCATGTGCAATGCACCGGCGCCGATCGCAGAAGGGGAGAACAACAGCAGCAGATCACAGGAGGAGATTACAGGCACTGTCACTGATGCTGCTGATGCCACCGCTACTGCCAACAGCAGCACCGTCAACAGCAGCAGCAACGCCACCACAGACCCCTCCCTCCCTCCTCTCCCTCGCGGCGTCCTCGAATGGCTGGCAGAAACCGAAGCAGGCGCCGAAACCGACGTGCTCATAGCCCTCGACGGCCACGTGATAGGCGGCGTGTCTGTCTCCGATCCTGTCAAGCCGGAAGCAGCAGCCGTGGTGGGGATCCTTCAGTCCATGGGCATGCGCACGGTCATGGTTACAGGAGACAACTGGGGATCCGGCAGGGCTGTGGGGCGAGCGGTGGGGATAGAGGGAGACGATGTGGTTGCAGAGGCTTTACCCGCGGATAAAGCCGCATTTGTGAGGAAGGTGCAGGGGGAGGGGAAGCAGGTGGCAATGGTGGGAGACGGGGTGAATGATTCGCCTGCGCTGGTAGCTGCTGATGTCGGGATTGCGATTGGTGCGGGGACGGATATTGCTATAGAGGCGGCGGATATTGTCCTCATGCGCTCGTGTCTCGAAGACGTCGCGACAGCCATTGATCTCGCGCGGACCGCGCTTCGACGGATCAGATTGAACTACGTCTGGGCGTTCGGGTATAACATCACAGGTATCCCCATCGCGGCGGGGGTACTCTTCCCAACCGCCCTCCGGTTCCGCCTCCCCCCGTGGGTGGCTGGGGCTGCAATGGCTCTATCCTCAGTGAGTGTGGTGTGCTCGTCTCTGCTGCTACGACTCTACAGGAGGCCCAGGAAGCTGGACCTGATCAAGCTGGAGGTGCAGCAGTAGGGGTGACTGAGATGCTCATTTGACCCCTACTGGAGGAGAATTCCCCTACGGGTGGGTTGCTGCTGGTGCAGCAATGGCCCTATCCTCTGAGTGTGGTGTGCTCCTCTCTGCTGCTACGCCTCTACAGGAGGCCCAGGAAACTTGACCTGATAAAGCTGGAGGTGCAGCAGTAGGAATTGGAGCTGTTGCTTTCATCTCCAATGCGGAAAAGAGGGGGAGTTTGGGGGTTTCCTATTATTCACCTAACGAGTCAGACTGTAAAGGAGGCCAAGCGAACTTGACCTGAGCAAGCTGGGTGTGGAGCATTGGTTGGGAGGAGTGGTGTGTGATAACCTCTAGCAGGGAAAGTAGGGAGAGGCAGGGGAGGGGAGGGGAGGAAGGGGGTGTAGAAGGGGGGTTGGAAGCATCCAGGGGGTGTTGTTGTTGGCTATACAGGAAGCCAGGGAAGCTTGACTCTCTGTCGGGCTTGGCTCAACTCAACTCCCTTCTTCCCATTCTCAAGAGCATTGAGAGAGCTGGTTGGGCTGGGTGCAGAGTCTTTAGTGAGGGATTTTTGTGAGGTTTGGCTAGGTTTGTCTAGATGTACCCTATGCCCCTTCTAGGTATTTCTCAGTAGATTTATAGGTCGGGGAATAAGGGCTAGTGTCATTTATATCATGTGGTCTTACTGTGCGTAACAGGTATCATGTTCACGTATGCTCTTATTATGTTAATGTGATGGTAGCTCAGTAACAGTATTACTTGTGGATTAAACAAGTGGGGAGCTTATCATATAGTCCAAAACCTTCAGCCTGACAAATTATGTATACTTGGTAATACTGGTTTGACTAATAGAGAGTACAATTCGTATGCCACTAGAAATAGCACCAGCAAGCACCATCACAAAGAAGTCTCCAATGGCAAAACACCATACCCTGACCAGGCCTGTCGCTTGCTCTAAACCCAACCCTTACGAAGTTGAGCTGGCCCAAAACCAGCCTGGAAGCATCCGGGTAGGGGCTGATTTTGGCCCGTAAGAATCAGGGCTGGCCAGTAAGAATCAGGGCTGACTTCAGGCCTAGGGTATTTGCAGCCAGCAACATACATGCTTACAAGAACTATGAAGTTTCAACTAAATGTGTTTGAGGCGGATTTACGGATAAGGGGTCAAGAACAGGGCCTCAGATTCGTTTTTAGCTTGGCTGATACGTCAGCCTTAGCAGGCTATGCTGGGCTGATCAATCAGAGTTGGTTAAAAAATAAAAACTGAAATTTCAGACAAGTCACAAAAAAAAACGCTGACTAATCAGCCTCACTAAAAAACGCAGGCTGAACTGGATTGGTTCTATGTTTAGGGCACGCACATGGATGCAGGTTCGGGGTGGGTGAGATGGGGTGAGGTGGGTGTCCTTGTTGTGAGTGCGTGCGGTGCGTTGCTGTGCTGCACTGGTGGTGGGTGATTGGCGCATAAGGGATGTGACAACCAATCACATCAATTAAAGCATTCTGTCGGTGACAACGAAGCACCGACGCGTCGGGGAAATCACACCTGGGGGGACGAAGCAACCTGGTGAGACACGGGGACCCGAACGGGGGGGGGAACCGGGGGCAGTGGCAGTAGGGGGGGCTGCTGGTGCGGCCGCTGGTGCTGCTGCTGCTGCTGCTGCTGCTGCTGCTGCGGCTGCTGCTGCTGCTGCGGCTGCTGCTGCGGCGCACGCGGGCCAGTGTGAAGAGTGTAGAGACCCGAGCCCGGCTCAGCAATAAAGGTAGCAAGAGGCTGGTAAGAGTCTCCGTCAACACACACCGCAGTTTCTCCAGAAGGCTCAAACCACACACCCACGTGCTGACTCACGAGGGGTCGCACGCCCACCAAGTTCCGGGAGAACGAGGGGACGTGAAACCCAGTGAGAGACCCGGAGGGAGCAGCAGGACACGGTAAAGTGGTAGTGTGACGGGCAGTGACTGGTCCCGTAGTGGGATCAGCCAACGCTACAGAAACAGGCGCAGGAAGTGGTGTAAGTGTCGTGCTGTCCCGGAAGAAGCAGTGGGAGGCTCCAGAGTCCAGTGTGAACGACAGCGAAGCGTCCCCTGAGGTAGTCGCTGGTCTAGAGTCTACACAAGTACCTACACTAGCAACAGGCAACTGAGCAAGACTAGCACCTAAGCTAACAACACCAGAGTAAACAGAGTCAGAAACACTAGAGTCAACAACAGCATACATAGCATGAGGAGCACTAATCAGATCAACTAACTGCTCAGCAGACATGCCCCACAGAGCGGAGCCGTAGCGCTGAACCAGAGGAAGCCAGTCAGGAGCAGGACCGCCAACCCCGTAGGTCAACCGGACCGTGTCAGTGAGCTGAGCAAAGCACTGACCAGGGGGGTGAAAGCGGCCACAAGGGTGGCCCCGACGAGGACCTGTCTGAACCTGGTAGGGGCAGGGAGGGTAAGCCGCACCGCGCTGGGGCTGACGCAGCCCCGACCCCGGAGCCAGCTGCTGACGCTGCTGCTGCTGAGGCTGCTGGGAGGAAAGGGGCTGCTGCTGCTGCTGAAGGTGCTGCTGACGCTGAGCCTGGTACCACGCCGCTGCTCCACCTAGCGGGGCCGGCAGTACAGGAGGCGACTGACGAGCTCGGGGGTCGCCGCCACCAGCAGGTGCAGTGGAGTCACCAGCCGCTGCACGAGGGGTCTCTCCAGACGCTGCACTCCCACCACCCCCAGTCGCAACAGCACCCCCACTACCTCCGCTACCTCCGCCTCCACCTCCACCAGAACCACCTTTCTTGCCCCCCCTGCCGCGAGACCGCGACGCAGTCGTAACAGCAGCCGCAGTCGCGTCAGTAGCAGCAGTGGCAAGAGAGGCAGTGAAGGTGGGTAACTGCGGGACTGTGCACCCGTGGAAGAGTGGGGGGGACACAGTACTAGAGGCGGCAGCTACCGAACGAAGGTTGCTCTCGACGTCCTTGAGTGCAGACTCAAGGACCTCGATAGTCAGCTCACTAGGGTGCTTCAGCAGAAGCGCGTCACGAACGGAGGCAAGGCGGTCAGGGAGGCTAGTGGCGATGAGATAGACAGTGATCGCCATGGGGGGAGGAAGCAGTGTAAGCTGTGCCTCAGTGCAAGCAGCGCGGTAACTAGCGTCGAGCGAGCGGAGGTGAGCGATCAAGTCAGCAGAGCGCTCAAACGAGGCAAGATCAGGAAACAGGAACGGGAGGAAAAGACGGCCAAGAGAGACAGTAGCGGGAGTAGAGTAGCGGGCCTTAATCGCAGTGAGGTACGCAGCAGCGGTGCGAACCTGAGTAAATTGGACCTCCTCGGACTCAGGGAGGAGGCTGCTGAGTGCGATGCAGGCCGCAGCGTCACGCGACGTCCAAGCCGTCCGGTCAGCGCGCTGACGGGCAAAGCGAGCCGTAGCAGCGTCGTCAGGAGCAGGGCCTAAAGCTGTAGGCTCGGGGGGCTCAGGGAGGTCACCAGTAGCGTGTGACCAGAGGGTCTCGCCCCCCTGGACCTGACTCTCTAACAGACGGCGAGCGCGAAGAAGCCAGACGGAAAAGTCAAGGGGTCTACCGTCAGCGTCGAAACGAAGAACTCGCGGAGTCGCCATAGTGAGGACTAAAGCGAACGAACAGGCGAGTAACAACCGGGGGGGAAGAGGACTCAGTCGCAGCGGAAGAGCGGGCTAGAGCGACGGGCCAGGACGTAGGGTAGGGCAACGGGCCAGGGCCTAGGGTAGGTGGACGGGCCAAGGCCTAGGGTAGGGCGACGGGCCAGGGCCTAGGGTAGGGCGACGAGCCAGGACTTAGGGAGGGCGACGGGCCAGGGCCTAGGGTAGGGCGACGGGCCAGGGCTTAGGGCAGGGCGACGGGCCAGGGCGTAGGGCAGGGCGACGCGACGGGGGAAAGGGCGGGAGCGACGCGACGGGGCAGGGCGACGCGACGGGACAGGGCGACGCGACGGGGCAGGGCGACGGGACGGGGCAGGGCGACGCGACGGGGTAGGGCGACGCGACGGGACAGGGCGACGGGACGGGACAGGGCGACGGGACGGGGTAGGGCGACGCGACGGGACAGGGCGACGGGACGGGGGGGGGAACAGGCGGGCACGACGCGACGGGGGGAACGGGCGCGACGCGACGGGGGGAAAGGGCGTGACGGGGGGGGGGAAAGGGCGCGACGCGACGGGGGGGGGGGGGGCGCTAGGCGACGGGGAGAAAGGGCGCTAAGCGACGGGGGAAAGGGCGCTAGGCTCGGTAACAACGGAACTGGTACGAACGAGAGGTAGGATCAGGCTCGGGAGGTACGAACGGAGAACGGAGGAACGGGATCCCACATGATCCTAACCTAGCTGATACCATGTCAGAATGAGGAATGGTGTTTCCATTGATGTTGGTTGGGGTACATATGACAAACCCTAACTTCTGTACCCCCTAAGACAAACCTCACTACAGGCTACAACATTTGACACTTCAGGCCTAGGGTATTTGCAGCCAGCAACATACATGCTTACAAGAACTATGAAGTTTCAACTAAATGTGTTTGAGGCGGATTTACGGATAAGGGGTCAAGAACAGGGCCTCAGATTCGTTTTTAGCTTGGCTGATACGTCAGCCTTAGCAGGCTATGCTGGGCTGATCAATCAGAGTTGGTTAAAAAATAAAAACTGAAATTTCAGACAAGTCACAAAAAAAAACGCTGACTAATCAGCCTCACTAAAAAACGCAGGCTGAACTGGATTGGTTCTATGTTTAGGGCACGCACATGGATGCAGGTTCGGGGTGGGTGAGATGGGGTGAGGTGGGTGTCCTTGTTGTGAGTGCGTGCGGTGCGTTGCTGTGCTGCACTGGTGGTGGGTGATTGGCGCATAAGGGATGTGACAACCAATCACATCAATTAAAGCATTCTGTCGGTGACAACGAAGCACCGACGCGTCGGGGAAATTCGTTTTCCCCCGCGTCGGCGCTGTACATGGTGACTTTTGCGTGATTGACAGGTGGATGTACCTGGACAGCCGAAACTCACGGCTCTGGCACGAATCTGTATTAGCGTGAGAGTTCAGCCTACACTCTCGTTATAAATCAGCCAGCACTTGTAAAAAAACGCTGGAAAATCAGCCAATACATTAAAAAAAAAACCTGAACAATCAGCCAACACTTAAAAAAAAAAACTGAATTATCAGCCAACACATCAGCCACAAGTCTGGGAAATCAGCGTCCAGACCCTAAATCAGCCTTTTTTCGCTGACTTCTGAGGCCCTGGTCAAGAAACTCCAAGGGGAAGCTAGTGAAGGAGAAGAGAGGGGGGGGGGGGGGGTGGAGAAGGGGGGGGACATACACGGAAATCCGGGCAAGGCCCAAAACCAGTCCGTTAGGGTCCGGCCAAGGGCAAAACCAGTCCGTTTTCCTTACGGGCTTCCTCGCAAACTAACCCTTAAAATCTCTGAGGTGCGTCAAACCCAGTCCTGAATTCTCAGGACAAACGGGCAAATGCCCGTGAATCGACAGGCCTGACCCTGACCTCCAGCACACTCTCAGTCTCAAATAGCAGGTATTACCGCACGTACGGTACTGTAGTCTGCAGCACATGGGTGTTATGTACCTTCATGCACGGTACGGGGTGACTTTTAAGTCGACTCGACTCATCAATAGTCACTCCACAAGGGCAGGCTGGTGGTAGTGGGCCAATGGCCTAGCATCTTGAGCCTGCCCCTTCCCATCCCTTTGCTTCATTGCATCGCACCGCATTGCACCGCACCGAAACACCCACTGCTTCTATTCTACTTCACAGCTTTGCCAGCCTTTACGGCTGATGGCTGACATGACATGACAATCCACAATGATCGATGATGGATGATAGCCTTGGTGTTATTTGCGCAAGGCATGGCACTGCTATGCGAACCCCACCAAGCCCACTGCTTCTATCTCTCCTTCATTAGCAGTCGACTTGATGTTATTAGCGCCGGGTGTGGGAACAAAGTCAGCAGCAGCATCCCCACACCCCATTCCCCTCCCCCCCATCCCACTTGACCGCACTGCACCGCAACGCAAACCTCACCCATTCTGTCACTGCTTCTGCCCTGCCGTGGTAGCGGACGGCTTGATGTTATTAGCACTGGGGGTGGGAAGGAACAGAGTCTGAAGCACCCATCCACACCACCCCTTCATCGAACTGCACCACACCACACCACACCACACCACACCACACCGCACTGCAATGCAAGCCCCACCCCTCCCTTCACTGCCTCTGCCTCGCCTTGATGGCCGACCAATTGAGGTAATTAGCTCCCAGGGTAGGCATGGCCCATCCAGCCCGCCTCTTTGCCCGCCTCTTTGCCTGTCTCTTTGCCCGTCTCTTGCGAGCATCCCCACACCCCATCCCCTTCACTGCTTCTGCCTCGCCTTGATGGCCGACGGCTTGAGGTTGTTAGAGCCCGGGGTGGGCATGGCCCATCCAGCCCGTCTCTTGGCCGCATCAGCACGCGCGTCGTCCCTCTCTCTCTCCATCGTCTCCGCCTGCCCCTGTGCCTCAAGCAGTGCCACTTCTAGCAGCTGCTTCTCTCCCTCCAGCCCTTCAAGCCTGGGGTTATGATACGCAAGGGGGAGAAGGGGGAGCATGGGGAAAGAAGGTGGGCATAAGTTTTCGTCCCTCTCTCTCTCTCCATCGTCTCCGCCTGCCCCTGTGCTTCCAGCAGTGCCACTTCTAGCAGCTGCTTCTCTCCCTCCAGCCCTTCAAGCCTGGGGTATGGGTGGTGGAGGGTAGGGGGGAGGGAGGAGGGGGGAGGGGTGCTGGCTTTTGAGGCGCCTCAAAAGCAAGGGCTAATGGGATGGGAAGAGGGGAGAGGGGGGCAGAGGGGTGAGAGCGTGGGCGAGCCTATGGAATCGACACGCACGCACGTTGGTTGTACCGTCTCTTTTGAGGTGCCTCAAAACTTTTGAGGCGACTTTTGAGGCACCGAAGAAATCGACATGCACAGACGTTGGTTGTACCGTTGAATGCACAGTTGTTTTTTGAGGCGCCTCACAAAGCGCCTCAGCAAGTGCACAGAAGGCACAGTTGAAGGGAAACAGCTGTTGAGTCCCTTGTCTCTTCCAGCCGTTTCTCTCTCACCAAGACTCCAAGCAAGGGTGATGCGGTGTGATGCGGTGTGATGCGGTGTGATGTGGTGAGCGGTGTGTGCTCCGCCAGAGCCAGGGTGTGTTCAAAGTGCCTTGCAATGAAAGAGCAGTGTGGTACAGCAGGGTGTGAAGTGCGGTGCAAAGTGGCGTGGGTGAGAGAATAGCTGTGCAAAGCGGTGGCAAATGGTGCCAAGTGATGAAGCGGTGTGCTCACCTCCTCATAGCCTCCTCCAAATTGGCATTCCCTGCTTGTAGGGATGATACGAGCTGAGAGATCTGAAAAGGTGAGGGGATGGGGGGGGTCGAGGGACAAAAGCAGGAAGAGACGGGAAGTGTGAGAGAGAGAGGAGGAGAAGAGGAGTGAGAGAGAGGAGGAGAAGAGTGAGAGAGAGGAGGAGAAGAGGAGTGAGAGAGAGGAGGAGACGGGGAGTGAGAGAGAGGAGGAGAAGAGGAGTGAGAGAGAGGAGAAGAGGAGTGAGAGAGTGGAGGAGACGGGGAGTGAGAGAATGGAGGGGAGCAGGGGGGTGGCATCCTGTGCTTGTGGTGATTCAGTGAGCTGAGCAAGCTGATAGTACGAGGGCATAAAGAGATTGGGGGGCGGAAGTAGGGTTGAGAATTCTCAGAAAGAGTATTTCTGAGAATTCTCAAAAAGGGTATTTCTGAGAATTCTCAAAAAGGTTATCTTTGAGAATTCCAAAACACCAAAACATACCCGGCAAGCTGAAAGTACGAGGGAATAGGGGAACAGAAGCAGGAGGGGATGGGAGGATCGGCGACAGATCGAGGGGAGTGGGGAACAAGGTAAGTGAGAGAGGGGAACATGCCTGTCACGCCCGTTCACACTCCCATCTTCTCACACCCACCCCATTACGCCCACCCTTTCACACCCATTCCCTCACACCCACCCACCCACAACCACAACCAGTCCCCCTCCCATCCCCCCACACGGCCACAGCCACCCCACCTGGTTGCCTCTGCCAGCGATCATCCTCTTGGCCTGCTTGCTTGCCAGTGCTTGTCATGAAGAAGAGCAGCAGTAGGGAGGGATCATCACCCACAATCAACCCACCTGGTTGTCCCTGCCAGCGATCATCCGCTTGGCCTGCTCGCTCGCCTCGCTGCTCTGCTCCTCCAGCTTCTTCAGCTCCTCCTCCTTCACCGTCAGCACCACCTCCAGCATGCGAATGCGGTCCCTTGCTTCCTGTGATGTGTGGCAATGCAAACAAGGGAGAGAGAGAGACGGGGAGAAGAGGAAGCATGAGGAGAGAGAGCGATGGGGACACATGAAAGGGAGGCTGCTCTGCTCCTCCAGACTCTTCAGCTCCTCCTCCTTCACCGTCAGCACCACCTCCAGCATGCGAATGCGGTCCCTCGCCTCCTGTGGTTGTGAGCGGCGGGGGGCACAAGGGACGGAGGCAGCAGCAAGGGGAGAATGGGAGAGAGAGGAGGGGCTCGAGGCAGCTCCAAGGGAGGCTGCTCTTCCTATCCTCCTCCTCCATCGTCAGCACCACATCCAGCATGCGAATGCGGAGAGTAGCAAGGTATAGCTGTGAAAAGAGGCAGAGTTAGTAGTGAATTTTCAAACAGGAATTCACCCCATACCCCATATAGACCTACCCTATAGAGCTCTACCCCTTACAAATCTACTAACTTTTCTTACCTTCAGAGCAACAGTAGCCAGGTTAAGCTGTGACGACAGCTCAGCAATCTGCCCCGCGCGTACCGACAGCTCCTGATTCGCTAGCGCCAGCTCAGCGCGCCGCTCCGCCAGGTCAGCCTCCACCGCGCGAAGCTTTCCGGCAAGTTCTTCCCTCTGTCGCTCTGTCTCTGCCAGCCGGCCCTCCAGCTGCTGCTTCTCCCCCCTGACAGCTGTCAAGCTCTCATTGGTGGACTGGGTTGGGGGGTGGGTGCGGGAGGGAAGGGAGGGTGGGAGGGGAGGACGGGATGGGAGGACGGGAGGGGGGGACGGGAGGGGGGGACGGGAGGGGGGGATGGGATGAGAGGACAGTGGGTTTGGCGAGTTGGTAGTGTTGTCGGCACAGAGAGAGAGACACACACACACACTCTCATGCATACACACACCTTCAGCTCTTCCCCTGTGCTTGCCAGCTGCCCTTCAACCTCCTCCAACCGCTCTCCACTCCTCCTCAACTCCTCCTCCCTCTCCCCCAGTCTCCCCTCAGTCTCCGCCAGCCGTTCCCGCGTCTCTTCCAATTGCCCCTTCGTCTGCCCGAGCTGCCCGTTGACCTCTTCCAACTGCCCCTCAGCCTTCCGCAGCTGCCCCTGACTCTCCTCCAGCTGCCCCTGCGTGCTCCCCAGCAGCCCTTCTAGCCGGTCCAGCTCCTTCAACGCTCCTCTCAACTCCCCTGCTGCTTCCTGGTGGCGCCTAGTAGCACTCTCCAGCGACTGCTGGGTGGTCTGGGGGAATGGGAGAGGCGGGAGAGAGAGACAGAGAGAGAGAGGGAGAGAGCAGTTGAGGGAAAAAGGAAAAAATACGAGACTCAGCTCGCCTGCTGCCTCTTGGTGGCGCCTAGTAGCACTCTCCAGCGACTGCTGGGTGGTCTGCGGAGGGAGGGAGAAACGGGGAGAGGAGGAGGGAGAGTGAGATAAGGGATGGAGAGTTCAGAAGGGTGTTGACACGAGACAGAGAACGAGCCCCAGCTGGCCCTCCTGAGTGCTCTGCTCCCCAGCAGCCCTTCTAACCGGTCCAGCTCCTTCAACGCTCCTCTCAGCAGCTCGCCTGCTGCCTCCTGGTGGCGCCTAGTAGCACTCTCCAGCGACTGCTGGGTGGTCTGGTGGGGGAAGGGAGAGGAGGGACAGAGACATACAAGGAGAGAGAAGAGAGGAGAGAAACAAAGGGGATTTGAATAGAGAGAAAGAAGAGGGTACTGCGGGTGGGGTATGGAGGCCTGGGATATCGTGGGGTGGGGCTGAGGTGGTGACAGAGTGAATGAGGCAAAAGCCCTTGTGACTGAGTAGGCAGTTGGTGAATGAGTGGGAAGGTGGACAGGAAAGCTAGCAGCCATTCCTGCAGTTGCTGTTGAAGCTTCTCCACCTGCTCCTTGTGTGAAAGGAGCACGAGCGACGTGGGTGGGGATGATTCCGTTGGGGGAGACGGCCTCAGAAGGAAGACGTACCTGCAGTTGCTGTTGAAGCTTCTCCACCTGCTCCTTGTGTGATGCCTCCATCTGCTTCTTCTCCTGGACACACACGAGAAAGAGGAAGGAAAATCAGCATGAGATGCAAGCAAAACGAGCGTGCGAACTGTAGGGTGTTTTTGAGAATTCTCCTGGACACACACGAGAAAGGGGAAGGAAGTTCCGCATGAGATGCAAGCAAAACGAGAGTGCAAACTTGCGCCAGCAAATTACCGCCATCGGCACTCTGGCGGAGCCTAGGACCACGGAACCAACCATGTTTGAGGCGGCTCCTCTCCTTTCCTCTCCTCCCCTCTCCTCTACTCCCCCCCCCCCCCCCCCCCCCCCCCCCCAAAAAAAAAAAAAAAATCCCTCACCTCTGCGCTCTTCTCTTCCAGTGCCACTAGTTTCCCCTCCGTCTTATCCAGTGCAGCAGCCAGCTTCGCACTGGCAGCCACAGCATCATGCAGGCTGCGCCGCACGTCCTCCCCCTCCCTCTCCAGACGATCACGCTCTGCTGCCAATTCACGCATCTAGGGGGAACAGGGGCGGGCGGGCGGGAGCAAGACAATCGTGTATGTAACAGGAGCTGAGAGGTCGTGCACGCACACACACACACCTGGTGAGGTCACTCAGAGTGACACACCTCAAGTGACTTGGTGATGCTATGCGTGAAATCACCTTTGAGAAATCTCAAAAGTGATGTCAGTGATGCGTTGCGTGAATGGTGGGTGATCCAGTGATGGAGCGGTGACCTTGAATTGGTGATGGTGATGACGGTGGTGACGATTGGCAGTACCCAGTGCACGCACCTTGGTTTTTGAGTCGACTCCAAAGTCAATTGGCAGTACCCAGTGCACGCACCTTGGTTTTTGAGTCGACTCAAAAGTCGATTGGCAGTACCCAGTGCACGCACCTTGGTGGCGCCTCAAAAATGGCTTTTGAGGCGCCTCAAAAGGCGCCTAAAAAACGGCTGGCAGTACACAGTGAACGTTCCCTGGCGGCACCTCAAAAGTCACCTAAAAAGCGGCTTTTGAGGAGCCTAAGAAATGGCAGTACTCAGTGCACGTACCTTGGCCATGATGGTGATTGTGATGGTAATCGTGATGGTGATGATGATGCCAGTATCAGTGCACGTACCTTGGTGTAGTGAGTCGATTTATGAGTCGACTCAAAAATTGACTCACTACACGCGAACGTACCTTGGCCCTGCTTGCTTCAAGCTCCCTCTCCACTCCCTGAAGCTTCCTCCTCACTTCCTCTCGCTCCCCCTCCGCCTTCACCCTCCCCTTCTCCTCCTCCTCCCGCTCCACCCTCACTCTCCTCACCTCCTCCCTCACTCCCTCCACTTCCCTCCTCCTCTCCTCAATCTCCCTCCTCTTCTCCTCCACAGACTCCCTCAAACCCACCAGCACCCCTTCTTTCGCCTCTAGTTTCTCAATCAGCCCACACACCCTCTTCTCACTCGCCTTCTCCCTCTCCTCCATCTCCTGAAGCTGCTTCTGCGTAGCATCCCTCCCTCTCCTCACCTCCTCAACCTCCCCTTCCAGCTCCCTCACTCTCTCCCCCAACTCCTCCTCTCTCATCTCAAGCCCCCTTCTCCTCTCCTCCGATTCCGCCACCCTCCCCTCCTCCTCCTCCACTCTCCTCCTCATCTTCCCAACCTCCTCCTCCAAACTTCCTATCCTCGTTTTAAGCCCCCCCTCTACCTCCTTCCGTTTCTCCTCCAGTGCTCGTAACTCGTCAACCTTGCTTAAATACTTCCCCTCCATTTCCTTCCTCCTCTCCTCCGTCTCTCTTTCCAACTCCTCCATTTTTTTATCTTTTTCATCAACCCTCCCTTCCAATACAATGACCTTCTTTTCCCTCTCCACTTTTTGCCGAACCTCCTCTGCCAGCTTCCTGGCAACTTCCTCCAGCTCCCCAACCTTCTCCCGAACCTCCTGCTGCGCAACCCTCACCTCCTCCCGAGCCTCCAGCAAGTGCGTCTCCGCCTCCTCCACCCTCCTCTTCCACGACCGCCGTTCCTCCTCCCACCGAGCCTTCGCCTCAGCTTCGGCAGCTTTGGCTCGGCTCTTCTCCCCCTCAACCCTCTCCTCTGCCTCCCTCACTCTCTCCTTCCACTCAGCAACCAACTCCGGAAGCTTCTGGTTCCTCTGCAAATCAAGCTCCCTCTCTTTCTCCCCAACCGCCCGCTCCAAATCCCCAATCACCCTATCCCTCTCCTCCAATTTCTTCTTAATTTCTTCCATCATCCTCTCCCTTTCCTCCACCTGCCGAACGATCTTCCTCATCCCATCCTCCACCCCTCTCTCCAACTCCTTGATCACTCTCTCTCTCTCCTCCACTTGCCCCTCCAACGCCTTTACCTTCAACTTCCCTTCATCTACAGCCTCTTCCAAATCCTTAACCAGTTTCTCCGCCTCTTCAATCTCCTTTTCTAGCTCAGCAACCCTCTTGCTCTTCTCCTCCGCACTCCCTGCCACACTCCCACTCTCCTTCAGCTTCATCTCCAGCTCTTCCACTCTCCTCTTCATCTCTTCTTCCACTTCCTCTGTGCGTCTCTTGCACTCTCCCTCTACCTCCTCTACCCACTTCCTTGCTTCGTCCTCTAGATCTCGCACCCTCTTCACCTCCTTTTCCATTTCTTCCATTGCCTTTTTACTCTCCCCTACCTTCTCTTCTGCTTTGACCGCCTTTGCTTCTGCTGCTCCTGCCTTCTCCTCTGCTTCTCTTATCTTGACCTCCATCTCCCTCTCTCTCTCCTTCCACGCACCCCCTTCTTTCTGAATCTCCCTCACTCTCTCTTCCTCCACTCTCAACTTCCCTTCCACATCCCGCACTCTCTCTTCTCCCTCCCTCACTCTCTCCTCCAATTCCCTCACTCTCTCCTCCAACTCCCTCACTCTCTCCCCCCTCTCTCTCACTCTCTCTTCCAACTCCCTCACTCTCCTCGCCTCCTCCTCCCTCTCTCTCTCCTTCCTCTGAACCTCCACCTCCCTCTCCTCCCACCTCCTCTTCACGCTCTCTCCCACCTCCCTCGCTCCCTTAGTTTCCATCTCCATCTCTTCCAACCGCCTCCTACCCCTCATAACCTCCGACTCCAACTCCTGAATCCTCCCCTCCTTCTCCCTCACTCTCCTCTCCCACTCCTCCGCCTTCCTCCTCCCCTCCTCCACACCCCTCTCCAACTCCCCCACTCTCCTCCTCGCCTCATCCCGTCCCTTCCTCACCCCCTCCCCTTCCTCTTCCCGTCTCTTCACCTCCTCTTCCCTCCTCTTCACCTCCTCCCTAAGCTCCTTACAAACAGCTTCCGACTCAACACTCTGCTGTCTCAGCTTCCCTTCCAAATCCCTCACTCTGCTCTGCATGACCAGAAACTGCCCTTCTATATCCGCTGCCCTATCCTCTGCATCATCCAAAGCACTTTCCGCTTCCTTCTTCTCCTTTTCAAGTCCTTTCACCCTCTCCTCCCACTCCCTCACTTGCTCTTCCATCCTCGCAGCTTGCTTCTCTGCTTCCTCCCTACGACCTTCCGCTTCTCGCACACTCGCTTCGGCCTCCCTCACTCTCCCTTCCGCCTCTCTCACTCTCTCCTCCGCCTCTCTCACTCTCCCCTCGGCTTCCCTCACTCTCTCCTCACTCTCAGTCCTTTCCTTTGCCGCCCTCCTCCTCTCCTCCTCCGCCTCCCTTTCCTTTTCCTCCACCTCCTTCCTCCTCTCCTCCATCTCCCTCTCCATCTCCCCCACCTTCTTATCCCTCTTATCAGCTGCTTCGATTCTCTGCATAAGAGCCGATTCCTTGGCTTCTATCTTTCTCTCTGCATCCGCCTTAGCAGCCATTGCCTGGAGCTTCGCATCGTTGGCCGCTAGAGCCTGGTAGAAAGGGGTGAACAGGTGTGGGAAGGTGTGGAAAGGTGTGGAAAGTTGAATGATGAACATGTGTGGAAAGGAGTCCCGTTACAGAGTCCCCTCTTTGTCTCCACTTCCCCAATGTGCTGAAAGCACAGCTCCACCATACAAGGAGCTTCCTTCTTCCCCTCCCTCCCTTTATACACACAAATTCCCACATCCTCACACTCCTACTCTCTCCCCCGCTTTTCAATTGCGTCTGTACCAACACCACCACCATCCACCACTCACAATGCTCCTCCCACCACTCACAACCACTCACCATCGCTTCCAGACTCGCCGCAAAGACGCCGCCTCTGTCTCGGCGCGCAGCCCCCTCTCCGCGTCCACCTGCTCCATCAGCTGAAAGCAGCTGAGCCGCAAACCACAGTGTTCCTCCCACCACGCCCCACACCCCTCCAAACCACTCACCATCGCCTCCAGCTCCTGCACTCGCCGCAAAGACGCCGCCTCTGTCTCGGCGCGCAGCCCCCTCTCCGCGTCCACCTGCTCCATCAGCTGAAAGCAGCTGAGCCGCAAACCACAGTGTTCCTCCCACCACGCCCCACACCCCTCCAAACCACTCACCATCGCCTCCAGCTCCTGCACTCGCCGCAAAGACGCCGCCTCTGTCTCGGCGCGCAGCCCCCTCTCCGCGTCCACCTGCTCCATGAGCTGGAAGCAGCTGAGCCGCAAACCACAGTGTTCCTCCCACCACGCCCCACACCCCTCCAAACCACTCACCATCGCCTCCAGCTCCTGCACTCGCCGCAAAGACGCCGCCTCTGTCTCGGCGCGCAGCCCCCTCTCCGCGTCCACCTGCTCCATGAGCTGGAAGCAGCTGAGCCGCAAACCACAGTGTTCCTCCCACCACGCCCCACACCCCTCCAAACCACTCACCATCGCCTCCAGCTCCTGCACTCGCCGCAAAGACGCCGCCTCTGTCTCGGCGCGCAGACCCCTCTCCGCGTCCACCTGCTCCATCAGCTGAAAGCAGCTGAGCCGCAAACCACAGTGTTCCTCCCACCACGCCCCACACCCCTCCAAACCACTCACCATCGCCTCCAGCTCCTGCACTCGCCGCAAAGACGCCGCCTCTGTCTCGGCGCGCAGCCCCCTCTCCGCGTCCACCTGCTCCATGAGCTGGAAGCAGCTGAGCCGCAAACCACAGTGTTCCTCCCACCACGCCCCACACCCCTCCAAACCACTCACCATCGCCTCCAGCTCCTGCACTCGCCGCAAAGACGCCGCCTCTGTCTCGGCGCGCAGCCCCCTCTCCGCGTCCACCTGCTCCATGAGCTGGAAGCGCAGCTCCGCCATCTCCTGTGTCAACTCCTCCGCCTCCTCCGCTGCTCGCTCCCTCTCCCGCACTAACTGGGTCTGGGGGGGTTCGAAGAGTGGGGATTTTTGGGGCAGGAAGCAGGGATTTGGGGTGATGATATGGGAGGGATTATCTGAAAGGGGCCTGCACTTTTGAGTCGACTCAAAGGAAGCAGGGATTTGGGGTGATGATATGGGAGGGATTATCTGAAAGGGGCCTGCACTTTTGAGTCGATTCAAAGGAAGCAGGGATTTGGGGTGATGATATGGGAGGGATTATCTGAAAGGGGCCTGCACTCATCTCCTGCATTTCACTCTCTCTCTAGAACATGCCCATCCTCTCATCTTCCTGTACTGCTCTCAACCGCACTGCACCCAGGCAGCAGGGAAGGGGAGGGGATTACCTGCAGGGCGTTGACCTGCCCCTGTAAGACGCTGAGTGTCTGCTGCTCCCCGTGCGTGCCCGCACTCATCTCCTGCATCGCACTCTTGAGCACATGCCCGTCCTCCTCTGCTGCTCTCAGCTTCACCTCCAGCACTCTCACCCGCTCCTCCTGCTCTGTCCTCGCAGCCTGCATGGGAAACCAGCACAAACAGGCTCAGAGGGGTGCAAATGAAATCAAAGGGGTTCAAATGGGTTCAAAATCTCCTCTGCTGCCTTCAGCTTCAACTCCACTCTCACCCGCTCCTCCTGCTCCGCCCTTGCAGCCTGCATGTGAACAAGTTGGGCCGGGGGGGGAGGAAGGGTTCCGGTGGGGTGGGGTATTGTGGGTTTGGGCGGGGTGGGATGGGATGGGATGGGATGGGGTGGACCCAGCAGCATGGTTGAGAGAAAGGAAAAGTCGCTGCATAGAGAGGGTGCAAGGGCAAGGGGTTGAAGGGAATGGGGGAAGAGGGCAGGAGCAGGGCTGGCTTAGTGACATGCTGAGGCTGAAATGACTCAACACTGCTTGAGAAATAGAGGTCGTTTTAGAGGCGCCGCAAAAACGACCTCAGGCTTAGTGACATGCTGAGGCTGGACTGGAATGACTCAACACTGCTTGAGAAATTGACGCAGACGCAGGAAAAGATGGGCAGAAACAGAAACAGAAACAGAAACAGTTACGAATACAGTACATGTACATAACTGCCCCCAACCACGAGCACACCCACACCCACACCCATCCCCCATCACCCATCCCCCATCCCTCAATATGCATTCCCCCTCTCCCAATCCCTCATCCCCCATCCTCCATTCCCCCCTCAACCCACCCCCCCCCATCCCCCATCCCCCTCCCTTCTCACATTAGCCTCCCTCTGAGCGCCTTCAGCGGCCTGAATCTTCTCCACCATCTCCAACCACACGCACATTCACACCCATCCTCACATTTCATTCCGCATCCCCCATTTTCCCCCCCATTTCCCCCCCATCCTCCCCTCCCTTATTTCTCCATCCCCCTCCCTTCTCACATTAGCTTCCCTCAGAGCGCCTTCAGCTGCCTGAATCTTCTCCACCACCTCCCTCCTCTCCTCCCTCCACCCCTCCTCCCTCCCCTCCACCTCCCTCCTCCCCTCCTCCTCCCTCCCCCTCACCTCCCCCAACTCCCGCCCCAGCCTCCCCACCTCCTCCCTCACTCTCTCCACCTCTCCTTCTAGCTCCTTCCTCCGTCTCTCCGACTCTCGCAATCGCTCCACCAGATTCTCCTCTCCCCCCCCAAGGGCGGCTTGGTTCGTCTGCTGAAAGGCTGCTTCTGGGGCAGGCGAGCGCTGCACGTAGGACGAGGCCTCGCCCATGTCTAGGAGAGTCTGCACGAACCCACTGTCTCCGCCGTCGCTGCTGGCAGGACCGGTGCTGAAGGGGTGCTGGGGAAGGGAGGAAAAGGAAGAGGGCAGGCGAGCGCTGCACGTAAGACGAGGCCTCGCCCATGTCTAGGAGAGTCTGCACGAACCTACTGTCTCCGCCGTCGCTGCTGGCAGGACCGGTGCTGAATGGGTGCTGGGGAAGGGAGTAAGGGAATTGGGGAAGGGGGGCATGTGTTGAAGAGCAGGGGGGTATGGAAGGGGAACAAGAGAGGCAGCACGTAGGACGAGGCCTCGCCCATGTCTAGGAGAGTCTGCACGAACCCACTGTCTCCGCCGTTGCTGCTGGCAGGACCCGTGCTGAAGGGGTGCTGGGGAAGGGAGGAAAAGGAAGGGGGCAGGCGAGCGCTGCACGTAAGACGAGGCCTCGCCCATGTCTAGGAGAGTCTGCACGAACCCACTGTCTCCGCCGTCGCTGCTGGCGGGACCGGTGCTGAAGGGGTGCTGGGGGAAGGGAAGAGAGACAGGGGGAAAGAAAGAAGAAGGGGGAAAGAAGGAGAATGTGGTAGGGAGAAAGGAAAAGAGAGAGGGAGCACATAGGATGACGCCTTGCCCGCCCATGTCTAGAAGCGTCTGCACGAACCCACTGTCCCCGCCGTCGCTACTGGCAGGACCCGTGCTGAAGGGGTGCTGGGGAAGGGAGAAAGGGAAAGGGGTAAAGGGAGCGAAACATGTAAGACGGTGCCTCACCCATGCCTAGCAAGGTCACTGTCCCCGCCGTCGCTACTGGCAGGACCCGTTCTGAAGGGGTGCTGGGGAAGGGAGAAAGGGAAAGGGGTCAAGGGAGCGAAACATGTAAGACGATGCCTCACCCATGCCTAGCAAGGTCACTGTCCCCGCTGTCGCTGCTGGCAGGACCCGTGCTGAAGGGGTGCTGGGAAAGGGAGAGGATGGTGGGAAGCGGGGAGGGGAAGGGGGCACAGGAAGAGAGGATGGGGAGGAGGTGGTGGGGAGAAAGCAGGGGGAGGGGAGAGAAGGGGGGAGGGATCGCCATGGGGGAAAGGTGGAAGAGCAGGAAGGGAAGGAAGGGGGACAAGGCAGCACGTAGGAGGAGGCTTTTACCATGTCTGGGAGAGTCTGCACGAACCCACTGTCCCTGCCACCGCACTGAACCGCACGCTACCACACAGGATCGCACCGCACCGCACTCCACTGCACTGCACCACTCCACACGCCCTCGCCAACCCACTCACCTTGTTCCCTTCTCCTCCCACTCCCGCTGCACCCGCCATGCCTCCTTTTCCCCGGCCACCCTCCTCCTCCTCGTCGTCCTCCTCCTCTTCATCTGTGGCAATCGCCATCAGATCTACCGCTGCTGATCTGCCCGAGCCCCTGCGAGGCAACGAGGGAAGGGAACAGTGTTATAAGGGAGCAGTGGGTGAGGGAGTGGAGAGAGAGGACGGGGAAGTGCGGGAGGAGAACACTGTTAGAAGGCGTCCCCTCCTCCTCTTCATCTGTGGCAATCGCCATCAGATCCACTGCTGAGGAGGAGGAGGAGGAGGAGGAGGAGGAGGAGGAGGAGGAGGAGGAGGAGGAGGAGGAGGAGGAGGAGGAGGAGGAGGAGGAGGAGGAGGAGGAGGAGGAGGAGGAGGAGGAGGAAAGGAAGGTACCTCGGAAAGTAGGAGGACGGGATATAAATCGCAGGTACGAACGGCGATCACGTGCCAGGACGGGGGGAGTGAGTGGTGCAGTGGCGATGCGCAGCATCAGATCAGCCGCACAGCTGCTCACTGACTGACTGCTGGCACGTGGGGGGCCGAGGTCTCTCAACCGGGACCTCGGTTTCTATAAGGCCAGACTTGAGACTCATCCTGGTGGGTCCCGCTTTTGAGGCGCCTAAAGAAGGGGTAGCCAACCACCCAGCCACCCCTCCTGCCTCCTTGGCACTCACCCTTGTTGATCCCGCATCCAGCTGTCGGCCTCTGATTCGTCCATGCGCTCCAGAGAGAATCCGTCGGGGCCTCTGGTGGCTGCAGGGCGGGTGGGAGGCAGAGAAGGGAGAGGGGCGGGAGTAGAGGCGCAAGGTTGGGGGGGAGGGTGATACAGGCGCACAGGTGGAAGAAGAGGCTTGGGTTGTGAGTTGATGTGTGATATGAGAAGAGAAGGGCAGTGTCTGTCAGGGCCTCTGGTGACGGTATTTTTGAGTCGACTCAAAAATAGACTCACTACACGCGGCTTGTGATGTGATGTGTGATATGAGAAGAGAAGGGCATTGTCCTGGAGGGTGGGTTGGAGGAGGAAGCAAGAGAGGAGGGGCAGGGCTGGTGACTGGTGAATGCAGCGTGGCTAGCTGAGGAGGGAGAAGAGGCACGGGGGGCAGGGACAATATCGATTCTTGAGGCGTCTGAAAAAGACGCCCGGCGAAGGCGGGATATAGAACGGTGGGAGGCATTGCTCAAGCCAGTGGTGCGGTGACTGCAAGGTGGGTGGGTGGTGGGTGGATGGAGTAAGCGCGTGAGGGGGTAGAACCACACACAGACACACCGAACGGCCCCATCCCCAATCCTTCCTTTTTCCACCCACCAGCACTGGGGTGGCGGGAGGACGTGGGCGACATGTCGGGCGCCTGGAATTGCCTGTGCAGGTCGAAACGAAGGGCCTCTGACCGAGCCAACTCCTCTCGCAACCGAGTCACTTCCATCTGAGAACAGAGCAGCAGCAGCAGCAGCAGCAGCAGCAGCAGCAGCAGCAGCAGTGGCGGGTAAGGGGGGTAAGAGGGATAGGTAGGCGTGTGAATGAGTGAAAGCCACGGGCCTCTGCCCATGCCAGCTGCTCCTGCAATCGAGTCCCCTCCATGATGTTGCAGGTGGTTTTTGAGAATTCTCAAAAACAACCTCCTCCAGCAACCGAGTCCCCTCTATCCATCTGCGAGCAGCAGTGGAAAGGATCATGGATGGACACATGGCAGGAGAGGGGTGGTGGGGTACACAGATAGACGCACGAGTGTGTGAAAGCCAAGGGCATCTCCCCTTTCCCTCCCCTCGGCCCCTCCCCCTGCCCCCCCATCCTACCCTTGCCCATTCCTCCCCCACACTCCCCCCGTTCCCACCCACCTGCAGCGCGGGCACGTCCTCCTCATCCAGCTCCGCCAGTCGCTCCTCCAGCGCCTCCACCTTGTTGCTCAGCTGCACCGCCTCGCGCGCCTTCTCCTGCGCCTTGCGCTTCCACTCGTCTGGCGCGGAGAGGATGGGGCACGCGGGGAGCGCAGGGCACGTGGGAGGGCAGGGAAGATGGGAAGGACAGATCAGGTGGAAAACACAAAGCAGGTGTCTTCCCTATCTCTCCCCTCTCTCTCCCCTTTCTCTCCCTCCTCCTTCTCTTCTTCCCCGTCACCCTCCCCTCCGCTCCCCGTTTTCTCTTTCCGCCTTATCATCCCCCTTCCTCTCCCCCCATCCTGCCCCCCCCCCCCCCCCCTTTACCGCATCGCGCAGTGACGGCCAGCAGTTGCGCACCCGCCTCCGCCAGCACGTGGGAATGCAGAGCAACTCTCGTCTCTCCACCCCCTCTTCCTCCCACTCCTCTCCCACCATCCTGCCCCCCACCCCCCCCCCCCCCCCCCTTACCGCATCGCGCAGTGACGGCCAGCAGTTGCGCATCCGCTTCCGCCAGCTTCTCCTGGAGCGCCTGGAACTGCTCGTCCTGCGCTCGCGCGGAAGGGGGAGGGGGAGCGGCGCGCGGAAAGGCGGCCGGGAGAGCGGCGCGCGGAAAGGGGAGGAGGAGAGCAGGGGAGGGTAATGGCGCGCGGAAATGCGGGCGGGGGAAAGGAAGGGGGAAGGGTGTTGGAGAGGGAAGGGGGTGGCGAAGAAAAGGGAAAGGGAAGGGGATCGGGAGAGTGGTGGGGAGAGATAGGGGCAAGGGGAGTGTGGAGTGAGGAGTGGGGAGGGGGGAGGCGAGGGCAGGAGTGTGAGTTAAGTTGCGAGAACAGATCCTTTTTTCCGGGGAGCGCCGGTGGATTTGCTCGTCCCGCGGAGAGGGAGCGGAGCGGAAAGGAACGGAAAGGGAAGGGGAGGGGAGGGGAGGGGAGGAGGGGGAAGAGGTGGGGGGGGAGAGGAGGAAGGGGGGAGGAGGGGGAGGTGGAGGACGAGACATCAAAAGATGCAATCCAGCATTACAGTAGCTCGTGACCGTAGCAGTCGATCACCTTGGCACACATAATGGAATCAATCCGATTCCTCGATCTGAGCGATGCGATGCGTATAACTGTTAACGTTACTAACGCCTTAATGGCACCTTACGAGCTCCAAACCAGGGAACACTTATTATAATAATTATCAACTACAGCAATGAGAATGTTAAGGGAGGGAGAGAGAAAAAACGATGAGTCATATAACGTGGCCTGACGTGGGTGTGTCAGACAGGAAAGGTATGAGGATTTGAAGACCAATGCCACGTGGCAGCCACTCATACGTTCTAGGGCAGGGTGTTTGCAGATTTGCAAGGCGAGCGGACTCGCTTCTAGATTAGAGACGTATCTTGGAGCCAATGCGTGCAAGGAAGCGTCCCAGAAGTTTCTTGGAAATAACGGCGAAATTCTCGTCTTGGAGCCCTAAGCGCCTTACTGTTGCCAGATTGTGCCAATCTCTCTCGCAGGTGCTACTGCGGAAAATGCGGCCAGAGATGTATAAACTCCCACCGCCCTCGTGTAAACCTCGGGGGGCAAGCGTTTGCGGCACGGCATTACTGACCGATGTGTCATCTTTGTAGACGTCCGTCAGCCAGGACGGGACGGAGTCGCCTCGCGAAGACGACGACATTCTGACGGAGGAACGGCGCGCTGCCACGTCCCTCCACTAAGGTTGGACGACGAACGGACGAATCGCGGGTATACTACCTATAAGGGATCCCTCCATCTGATGACCTCGCCATCGCGATTGCATGCACGAAGCTACGACAGCGTGAGAACTTCTATACGGCTCGCTGCTGTGGTGGAATGATGTGCTGTTATGGCTGCCTCTACTGTTTCTGATTGTTGGATTCAATCCGGCCTCATGTTTGTGTGGTGCTGTGTGGCGCCAAGATGTTTCTGTGCGTTATGAAAGTCATCCTTAGACTGGTGGTAGAGTATGGGTGTGATGGGAGAATTTGGCGGAGCTAGGTTGACAAAAGAAACTGACCAGATCAAAAGGGTTAAATTCGGTACACTATGTTGCACAATGGTAGCAAGAATCTAGCCACTGGAACAGCACAATACCGCAGTGAAAACCCCTCGATCAGGTCGAAACATGCTGGCGAGAGGTGAAAGGATGTTGGGTTGCGACGGATTTCGCGGGTTCTGGAAATGGGGCTGTCAGAGGGAACCACTGGTCACGCGGGAACTTCGAGATGCGCCATTTGGTTGGAAGCGGCACCCTGACAAATCATGAAGGCTTGGAGTTCATTCCTTGAACATTTAAGCGTATATAGTGTACCGCAACAACATCTTGGCACCAGCTAGGTCAACCAGCAACAAGAGTCGGGAAAATAATAATAATGAGCAGCCTAATAGATACTATCAGTAACAAAGTTGAATATTCAAGCATTTTAATGCATCGGATCAAGCAATTTAGAAGATTCTTAGTCTAGAAAGGTAATCAGAAATAGTATTGAATGGCTTACAGGTTTTAGGAACCAGTGAAGCAACATGTTCCTGCAAGTGATGTGGTGCTTGCACCCACCTGCTCATGATGCAGGCGAAGGCTTGTGCCACCATGACGCGAAACCTCAACAGCGGGCATGCGAAAGCTGGTAACTGTTGAAGGATCCAGAATGTTTCAGACGACGGGTTTCGTTTGTCCTCGCTTGAGTGTCTAAGTCAACGAACTCGATAGTTTGTTTCCTTACAAACATCAAGAAACAAGTCAAGTACCACATACTGTACAGCAGTTTCAACGACTCTTCTCGGCCTGTCAAGTCGTCCTCGTTCCAATGGGTTCTCATCGACAAGAATTCTTGACCCGGTGTCCCTGGGATTTTCTTCTTGCACAGTACCTTGGGCTCTTCTCCTCCACCACTCTTCCACTCCACTCCACTCCATTGTCACTGTTCTAACAGGTCCGAAACTAGTTAGTCAGGGCGAACAAGATGTTTTTACGTCATATCACCTCACCTTCCGCTCGACTAAAACCGCGTACCATCACGTGTGCATCCCAAAGCTCTCTGCCCGACATAGTTGTTCCTCCTCTCGCTGACACGTAAAGCCTAGGAGTTTCCGCGTTGCGTGTTCCGTCAGGTCAGCAGCTTGAAAGCAGCTGATGAAGCCATAAGTATCATGGCAAGAGAAAATACATTCTCTTAAGTGCGAGGTGCCACTTCAAACAGCTAGCCCGATTTACGGTACTCTTCTGGTCCGTTCGCCTGAACCGAGGCGTTTCCCATCGCCAGTTGAGCCGGATCTGCGACCATTCATCAAGCCGCAGCCTAGCGTCGCACCGCATCGCACTGCGTCGCATCGCTTATCGTCGTGTCGCAGCTTCGAAGGCATCCATCCCAGGACGTGCGTCTTCGCAACCCCTCTTCATTCCTCTCCTCTCCCCCCCCTCCACTGCTTCTCTCTCTCACTTTTCCGTCGTCGCCTTATTGGTTGTAGCATCATGCGTATAATCGCCAATCTCCGGCAAGGTCAGTCCAGTCCATTGCTAGCGAATGAGGTGAATTTTGAGTCGACTCAAAAAGTCACCTCATTAATCGCCAATCTCCGGTAAGGTCAGTCCACTCCACTGTTAGCGCACGAAGCTCGTGTGCCGCCTGAAAAACATCTTCGTGCTTCTCCATGGTCTGTGGTAATTACTTGACTTGAAAGCACGGTCAGATCCGTTTCGTCGTGCCGTTCTCACACTCGTGATCTCTTCAACTTTCATGTGATCGTTGTTGCTATTTTATCCTCCTCTTTTGATTTTTTTTTCTTTTTCTTTTTTTGCACCGCGCGCATTGATCTTTCCTGCCCTGTTGAAAAGAGGGGCCTGTTGCCGTTGCACCGAGTGGCATATGTCACATCCGATAAGAAGTATAAGCTAGAATCGCGAGTCGGACGTGCTCAGGTGTTCCCAGTAAAAATCGGCGAAGTGCGTAATCCCGTTTTTTTTTTTTTTTTTTTTTTTTTTTTTTTTTTTTTTTTGGGTATGCTGTTTTTCCCACGCGCTCAGTGGACTTCAAAGGCACAGATAATATCCCCGTGAAAAGGCTCAGCCGCGCTCGACCTCTTAGAATTTTCCTTCCGCCCGCCCTTTCCTTATCGTGCCCAATCCAGCGATTTCCGTAAGCAGCAGTACCATCGTCGCCACCAACCGCAGCAGCACCGGCATCAGCACCAGCATCAGCACCAGCAGCAGCAGCAGCAGCACCAGCATCAGCACCAGCAGCAGCAGCAGCAGCACCAGCAGCAGCAGCAGCAGCAGCAGCAGCAGCAGCAGCAGCAGCAGCAGCAGCAGCAGCAGCAGCATCAAGAGCCGTTTCTTGACACATGCCACTGCCCCAATCACCAGGCATGTCGTCGCTCCCGTGGACCGTCGAAGATTCATCCGACGTGGGTTACACGGAGCAATTCAGTCTCCGGAGAGAGAAGCGGCGCGACGAGGCTCGCCAATCGCCGCTACCGACAATCTCCGCCGGCAGCAGAGGCAGTAGCCGAGCTTCCAGCCGTGCGGGCAGTGGCGACGCGAGTTTAGGGCGAGCAGGGGAGCGCGGGTTGGGACGGGTAGTTTCATCAGAGGAAGAGGTGTCTAGTCATCAGAGGTCCCTCAGCCCACGAGCGATTTCCCCTTCCGCAGGTGGGGTAGGGGGAGTATGGGGCGCAGGGGGAATAGGGGCCGCAGGGGGGATAGCGGGCGCGGGGGGAGTAGGAGGCGCAGGGGGGATAGGGGGAATGCAGGCAACGTCCCCCAGTGGGTCTTCTCCAAGGCCAAGGGGGTATGAAGTAGCGCCGGCGT